ATTATATTTTCAAGATTAACTACATTACTTACTTTTCATTTAAATTGATTAAATCTCAAGATTATTCTTATTTTCAACACGCCTTTTATTTTCAATAAACGAAATGGATTCATTCGTTTTATTTTATTATTTATATTAGTTTTAATCTTATCAATTCTTTTCATATTGGAAGTTTATTATCATCATGGTCAATGTGCTGTAACTGCAAAATATTCTAAGAAAAATATAAAATTAACTCATCGAATAATGGATATGTTAGATTATTTGTCAATTGTTTATTGACCTGATTGTCAATCATTGTTAAATGTTTTAAGAAATGAAACTGTTATGGAATATTCCTTATTACATTTACAAGGAATTATCCCATATATATTCGTTTTTTCTTTTATATGTATGTGATCTTTCTTTCGTTCTGTTGCATGTCCTCGATATATTTCTTTTGGTATTTTCCTAGTTAACATTTCTTATATATATATAACTCAGGTATTTTCCATAATATGATATAGGAAATATCCAGTTAGTCTAGATATATATAGAGATTATGTTTTACGTTATTGTGTGTGTGAATTCGTTAGTAGTTAAACTTGTTACGTATTAAATAAACTATTTAACAAAAGAAGAGATCTAACAATTGGTGCGCCGGCCGGCTGTTGTCAAGTATATGTCAAATAACATTATTACTAGATCACAAAAACTAACGTTTGAAAACGAAATCAAAAGAATCAGTGATATTAAAGTAGAACAAACAAATAATTTAATTGATCCTTATCAGCAACACATTGTATATCGAGTTCAACTGTATCAATTTAGTATGGATGAAAAATTAACTATTTCATTATTGACAAGTTCAAGTGATAAATTACCGAAATTTAGTGGAAAAAATTCTGAAAATATGATTAAATGGCTTACAAAAATTACGAATGAATTAAATGTATTCAAACTGTATGATGCTCAAAAATTACGTATGGTTCCATTAGTATTATTGGATGATGCCCGTCATGGTATGTTAATAATTTGGACGCAGTAAAAGATTGGACAACGTTTACAAGAGAAATACAAAACGCATTTTCATCACCAGTTCATCGAAGTTTAGCTATCAAGCAAATTGGTAATCGTGTTCAAGGATTGGAAGAAACAGTTTTGCATTATTATCTTGAAATGATGGAAATATGTGATATGATTGATCACGAAATGAAAGAGGAACTCAAAGTTGGTTACTTATTAGCTGGTATCAAATTGTCATTACAGAAAGAAGTTATGAGAAGAAATCCAAAAAATCCAACTGAATTCTTAACTGTCGCACAAGCTGAAGAAAAATTAGACTTATTGATTAATGTTCAAACAAATTATGATTCAACACTCATCACGGATTCACTATCAGCGATTAAACCACAAACTAAATCTTCATTAGCATACAAATCAGCAAATACACAAAAACCGATACGATGCTTTAATTGTAATAAAATTGGTCATATTGCAAGAAATTGTTTTTTCAAAAAACTACTAGCGGGAGCGAATGATGGTACCGCTCTCGTTAATGTACATCATCCATCTTTAATGATCATATCAACATGGATCAATAATATGAAAGTAAGGGTGTGGGTGTGGGTGTGGGTGTGGGTGTGGGTGGGTGTGGGTGTGGGTGTGGGTGTGGGTGTGGGTGTGGGTGTGGGTGGGTGGGTGTAGGTGTGAGTGTGGTTGGGTGGAGATCTGTGGGTGGGTATCAGTGGCTGTTTCCTCTTGACTTATACCCACAGCCACAGCCACACTCACCCACACCCACCACAAATCTAAAATAAAAAAGAAATTAATTTTGATTATTTAAAATATGTAATTCATTACTGAAATCAGATGAAAATATATCTAAGTATAGAAAGAAGATTTTATTTTTCTTTATTTAAACTATACTAGAGGAAGTACCCACTGCAAACTCTCTCTCATACAGTTGTCACTGTAAAATCCTTCTGATACGGTTCACGCTGCAAAATATTTATATTTCAAGCACTTTCCGTATCCGACCTCCTCACTATTTTTCCTTGTATATACAGAAGTGTGATTGATGGTTTGGTGACGTTAGCTATCATAGAACCACCTGAGTAAATTTTCAATCACGCCCGGCTCCCCGATGACTATGCCAGTCCCCGTCGACCGCTCTTGGGACCTAAGGAAGCATCATGGAAAGTTGGTGATCATAGCTATTACAGAGACCGAATGCACAGCGAACAGAAGATGTACGCTCAGACGGCCGCCTTCGCTAGCTATTTTTTTTAATTTTTTGAAATGCTGCAACCCTACTCGTCGGTTCTATAGATTGCCTGTAGCAAGTACCGGGTTGTCGCAGATAGATAGAACATGTGAAATGTTTTATTGGAGCGCTCAGACGGCCTTCGGCCGCCTTCGCTATCGATGTTTTTTTAACCTTTTGAAATGCTGCAATCCTATTGGTCAGTTTCATAGATGGCTTGTAGCAAGCGTAGGATTTATTTTTTTCGGAACAAAGTAGACGTTGACCTTTCCCTGGTTGTAGACACCGTTCCTGGAAAGTTTCATTGCATTTGCTCGTACGGTGTCCAAATGCATAAAGAACAAACAAACAAACTTTCTTCTTTATATATATAGAAGATAGATAGATAACTCACCATTGAAATTCGATGAATATAAATCTAAATATAGACTAAAGATATTAGTTTTGTTGTTTTAAAATATATAAGGTACCATTTGGATGCGATCGATATGGAGTGAATTTGAAAGGGAAATATATTTTGCATTTTCGATACATCACTCATCACGGATATTACGTCGAGATGAACTTATATAATAGAAGAAAAAGATTTGTCGTTGTTGTGAACTATCTAACTTACTATTAATATGGGATAAATATGATACTTGATAAAGTTTTTCTTTGTTTCGTGTTCTAATAGGTATGCCAGCATAAATATGTTGCCAGTATAAATAACCATTTAATGAAAGAAAAGATTTATTTCACATTTCTATGATACAACTTAACATTGCTATATCGCTCACATAGAAGAAAGAATAAAAGATGTATTTGTTTATTTTTATTTTAGTTTAGATTTCAGAAAATAATCATAAAATAAATGAGGACCGAACAGAAGAAGACTTTATAAGATAACTACTTCTGTGGTAATCATAATGTGACATTTTTTATAAGATAATCAATAAGAAAATCAATAAGAAAAAGTTAAAGTTTATCACATTAGTTACATTTCTCCTACTTTTATCATATGAGAAGGACATAATGAGAACGAATTATGGGAAAAAAATGTTTAATTTTTAATTGATTGAAGAATTATGTCAGGCGAGATTTCTTCGATTGTAGACCAGTTGAAGATCTTGTTGTATGTTCCTGGAATGTTGTTGGTTTACGTTTTTTTGGATGCTGTGATGCGTTAGTTGCAGGTACAATATTAAAAGAACTGCTCTCAATTGTCTCAAAAATATTTTCGTTAACAGCAGGTTTTGAAGATTGTTTCTTCGATGACATAGATTTTTTTTTTGACGTGGTTGATATTACAATCGGATTTTCTTCTACAAC